ACTCATTTTTCCCTTCATCCCCCAAATATAAAACCGAGCTCCTACTGCGTGCCAGACACTGTGCCAGACACGAGAAGTGCAGCATGAAGCAAACAGACACGTCTCTGTCCCCGGGAGCTCAGGTTCCTGTGAGGAGAGCCAGACAGTTAACTGACTACACATGGAAATTAGACAGCGTCCTGCATTTAACAGAGATGTTCTGGTGACACAGTGGTCACAGTGCTCAGCTGCTAGTGGCAGGAAAGTGTGGCCATCATAAAGATGGCAGTCTTGGACACCCTGGGATGGCCAGTTCCACTCTGTCCTAGGGAGGAGCTCTGATCAGAAGCCACTCAGTGACAGCAGGTTTAGTTTGGGTATGAGTTGAAGTGTGTTCCCAAAAAACATACTCTGAAGTCCTCACCCTGTCCTGGTAACAGGGGCTTTGTAGACATTATCAGTCAGACTGACACGAAGACCTAATGAAGTAGCACTAGTGTCCTTATAAGGAGTGAGACGCAGAGTCACACGGGGGCAGGCGGTATGGCCAGACGCCAAGCACTCCCAGCTGTCACTAGAAGCCGGGAGGGTATATTTAATGCATGGTGGAGCAGGTTCCCCCTCTGAGCCTCAGAAGGAGCCAACATGGTGGACACGTGATGAGGACTTTTCGCCTCCAGAACTGGGAGGCCATACTTTTCTGTGGCATTTTGTTCCTGCCGCTCTGGGAAACACACGTGTAATAAGTATGCTTGAAGGTAGTAAGTGCTGTGAGGAGAAATACGGCAAGATGAAGCTATGGTGCTCTCAGACAGGGTTTCACTGCTATTCAGGAGGTTTTCAGTGACTAAATATTCAGAAATCATCCGTCTCTCCGTCTTCATTAGTTTGTCTTCGTCTGGAAGTTCATCTGAAACCTGTCCACCATGGGTGACCCTGCTGGTATTTTAAAACCCGGTGGCATAGCTTCCAGAATCACAGCAACTCACAAGCCACCACAGTACGACAAACTGACAGACCAGTGGTGTGGGAAGAAGTACAGCCAGAATGAACATTAGAAGCCAAGATGTCCAGACTTCATCTCTCACACTTCATACATGTTATCAGCAGGGTCCAGTCTCTGGAGAAGGGCATCATGCTTGGTAAAATGAAGGGGCAGCGAAAAAGAGGAAGACCCTCATTGAGAGGGAGTGGCAGCAGCAATGGGCTCAAGCATAGTAAAACCTGTGAGGTTGACACAGGACGGGGCAGTGTTTCGTTCTGTTGTGCATAAGGCCACTGAGTCGGTGCCAACTGGACGACACCTAACAATAACAACAAGGATATGGGGTTAGGAGGTGAAGTGCAGTTTTATGTAGGATAGCCAAAAGGTCTCCTGAAGAAGGTAACACGCATGGATGTCCTGACACTGGTTATTAGACACCCACATACACAAACTCAGGCGTCTATTGATTGAAACCAACATCTGTTTTGCTCACCAAGGTAACTCCAGGTCCTAGCCTGGTGCCCTGGGCCACAGCAAGGATTTTATCATCATCATCAATGGATACTGCTGAAGTTTCTTTGCAGCCAACTTGTAGGACCTGGGGCAAAATCCTTCCTGTTGCCCGGTTTTACTAGGAAGGTGAGGGTCCCTGAGTCCCAAAACTGCTAAAAGAAAAGCTGTGTCAAAATAAAAGAGCGCAGAGCCATTACCAAACTGTAATTACAGCTGTCATTCTCCTCTGTCCTGCTGTAGAGACTTGTGCTTTGCAGCAATTCTGGAAAAGGTGTGACCGGGATTTCAAACACCAACCAAGTCACCCATTCCAGCCTAAGACTAGGAAGAAGGACCTGGCTGACCGCTTTCAAAAGATTGGCCAGAACTGAGCTGACCCTCATGGATCAACTTTCAGTCAAACAATTTATCATTGTTAAATGCCATCAAGTCGGCTCCAACTCATAGCAAACCTGTATAGGGTTTCTGAAGCTTTAAATCTTTGCAGAATCAGAAAGCCTCATCTTCCTCCCTGGGACAGCGGGCCGGCTTGAGCTGTGGTTTGCAGTCCAATGCTTATCATGAACAGTTGAGCCTTGGTGTGGTGCTGTAGGATAAGCACTGACTGGTAACTGTAAGGTCGGCAGTTCAAACCTACCATCCGTTCTCGGAAATCCTATACAGGGTCGCTATGAGTTGGAACCAACTCGACCACGACGGCACACAACATCATGTTGTTGTTGTTAAGTGCCATCGAGTCGGTTCCGACCCATAGCGACCCTGTACTCGCTATGGGTCGGAACACAACATCATAAGATGTACAATAACACAAGGGAGGGAGTGCCCCTTTTAACAATCAACCACCAAACGGCAGAATTTGTGGTGCTGTGAGTTAATGCACTGGACCCCAAGGTCCGTTTGAACCACAAGGTCGGCGGTTCAAGCTCCCCAGCAGCTCCTTGGAAACCCTATACAGGGTCGCTGAGTCGGAACCAACTCCACAGCATTTAACAACAACAACAACGAAGTTCAGAGATCGGAAAGGAGAGAGGGAGCGGGGGAAAGGTTAGAGAGAGCGAGCAAGAACTTTCTTTTCAGAAAACAAAACTTGTAAGAATTTTATTTCACACTTAAAACCGCCGCCAGGCTCGGCAAAGACGGACCGAGCGTTCTCAAGCGACCCTCGAGCGCCCCCTGCCGGTCGCCTGCCCCCACGCTCTGTCGGTCCCGCGATGGGATTACACCGACAGCGGCCCCCCACTTCTCTTCCGGCGCTCAAGTTTGTTAGCCCCATGTTGGAATTTATGGGACTCCGGACTGACTTCAACCCAGAGCTAGGTTGCCGGCCACGGACGCCGCTCTCTGGGGCGGCGAACCTACTCCTATGCGGGCGAAGCGCCCCAGCGGACTACTGACCGTGCGGAACCAGAGGCACGGACGCAGTTTTCAGCCGGTGGCGGAAAGAGGAGAACTTCCGGGAACTGGCGCTCGCGTGTGCCAGGAGCGTGGAACGCTTGGGGGTCGCTTCCGGGTCCGGGAAGCTGCAGAAGTGCCGGCCAGTCAAGACAGTAGCAGGTCATTTAGTGGAGACGTGTCTACCGCTTCTGTCCCGACAGGACACGTTGGAGTGGGGCCGAGAGGGGATCGGGGCGGCCGGAGTCCCCGTGTGGTCGCTTGTCACCGCCCTTTCGAGGCAGCGCCGGGGTCCGCGGGCGGTGTCAGGATGGTGAAAGCGAAGGCCCCGGCCCCGGCCCCCGCGGCCAAACAAGTGCTTGTCAAGAAGCTAAATAAGAAGAAAGCCAAGAAGGGACAGTTCTGGAAAAACAAGGCGCAAGAAGCCCGCCAGAAACCGGAGAGCGGCTCCAGCCTGGTGGTGCGACCACCAAAGACCCCCGAAGACTTTTCCCAAAATTGGAGGGCGCTGCAAGAGGTACGGCAGGGCGGCGCCCAGGAACGCGGTTCTGGGGGGAGGCAGCGCTTCGGGGCGAGCGGCCGGCAGAGACGTGGTGTAGACGATTCTGGCCGCAAGTAGGGTTTTAAGTTGTTAATGCGGTCGAGTGGGTTCCGACTCAGCGACCCCCGATAGGATTTCCGAGGAGCGGCTGGGGAGCTTGAACCGCCGACCTTGTGGTTCAAACCGACCTTGCGGTCCAGCGCATTATTGGTTACTGAGCTGTTAAAATGTGGGGGCCCCGCCGTGTGACTCACACGTGCGCCCTTGTTTAACCCCATGAGAAACCCAGAACCTCCGACCGCGCCACAAGACCCGAGACCCGTCTAGTCTGTTCCTGGCAAGGCCTGCAGCCTCGGCCTCCCTCCGGAGCAGGGCGCTTCTGCCATACGGGGTCGCAGACTGCGGCTGTGGGGTCCATCCCTCCGTATGACGGCCCCGAGTCCAGTTCACCCACTGTGGTCTTGTCAATTCCCACTGATCCGAGCTACGGGACAGGGTAGAACCGCCCTGTAGGGTTTCCTAGGCTGTAGCCCTTGACCGAAGCAGGCTGCTCTAGTCTTTATCCTGCAGAGCGGCTGGTGGGTTCGAACCGCCCACCTCTTGGTTGACAGCCCAGCACTTAATGCGCAGTGCCACCAGGGCTCTTCCATAGCGCTTTTTCAAAACAACCCACGGGCTGCCACTGGGTTGATTCCAGTTCATAGTGGCCCTGTATAGGGGTCACAAGGCTGTCGGTCTTTCCTGGAGCTGAAAGCAGCCTTCTCCCAAGTTAGCAGCCCATTTCTTACTCTCCACCAGATACCTGGGGTGCGGGGTGTTAGTTTGCAGTTGCACAGAATGGGGGAGCAGATGTCAAATGAGGGAAACTGAGCAGTCAGTCTCCAGTTGTTGTTAAGGACCCTGGAGTCGGCTCCGGCTCATAGCGACCCTGCACAGGGTTTCCGAGCCTGTAAATCTTTACAGAAAGCCTCATCTTTCTCCTGCCGTTCCAAGGCCCGTCTCCAGTGGCTTTCTAAAAACTGTCTGAGAAGGAGACTCGGCCACGCTGGTGGACATGTATGCAGATGTGTCTTTCCAACCTGCTGTGCGAGGTGTCTGAATTAAACGTGGCATTTATTTTCTTTTTTATTCCATTAGCTGCTGAAACAAAAACCACAGACCCCAGAAAAGCCTCTTGCTAGCTCCCCCATGGGTTCCAAAAGGCAGCCCCAAAGGACCCAGCGAAACAGAAGAACGGTGTCGGGCCCGGCGGAGGGAGCCGAGGCGAAGCGGCCGGGGCCAGCGGGGAGCTCAGGCCAGGAGGCTGGTGGGGGCTCCGAGCCTGCAGGGTCCCTGACAGTGAGGACAGGGCCGCTACCTCTCGCTGAGACCCCGGGAGCAGAGCCCAATGAGAAAAGCACCTCGAAAAGGACGCGTGGCGTCGTGTCCCCACCGAGGTTGGACAGCAAGCCTAAGAAGCGGAAAGTGGAGGCAGCGGCTCCGGCCCCTCCCACCGAGTAAGTCCCGGCTGTGGGGGCTGGGTGCCCCACCACAGTCTGTCTCCCTGTCACTTGCCCAGGGGCTGGTGTGTGTGCTTGCTGGTCATCATTATGGGTTTTCCCCTAGGATGTGGGGGGGGACATGGGGTCCCCCCACCCAGACAAGCTTTGATTCCTGAGGTGAGTAGGTACTGAGACCAGGGACTTGACACGCTTCCTGCTGGGGGGTGGGGGTGGTCCACTGCTGGGCACAGTGCTTTCTCAGCACCCTGTCATTCGTGGGGACACTCGCAGACAGCGGCTGTCTCCACACGGATCCGCTGGAGGTAGCACGTTGGTTAGCCACACTGGCTGCTGCTGAACCAGACACGTGTTCAGTGAGGCAGCCTGCCACGTCCTCCTATAGCTCAGAAACAGACAACACACCAGGTGACCACCGTCACACAACTTGGTGTGATCAGGGTCATGCCAGCTCAGGAGGCCAGCTGGGAGCAGATGGCAGGGGTGGTGCGTCCAGTCCACAGGGGCAGAAAAGCCTTTGAGGACATGGCATTTCAGCTGAGCTCGAGAGACAGACTGGCTGGGACCCCATCTACACTTGCAAGGCTATGTGTGTGTGTGATTGTGATGTCAGTGAAGGGTTACACGGCAGTGTAGGTCCCCACTACACAGCTTTCAGCGGCCTTGGCCTCGTTCCTCACAGTGTGTGATTGTCCTCGTCGTCCCTTCTGGTGGTTCTGTTTCCATTCGTCTCCTTTCCCTGCCCCCTTCCCTCCTCGTGGTATTTTGAAGCCTCTGTTGACCCTTTGGTGTCCAGAGGTGGGGCGGTAAGACGTGTAGACACACCTGGATCTGCGTCTCCTAATCCTGTGGGGACAGAGACCCTGCGCTCGTAATGGGAAAGGGTACGCTGGCGTCAGCAAGCCTGGGTGGTGGGTTTTGTGGTTCCATTTTAGGTTCTCAGTCGTCAACCTGCGTGCTCTAGACCCTCCACGACACGGGTGCCACTCTGCTCATCAGAGACACTGGTGAGGAGAGGGGAGAGCAGAGGCAGCCTGGGAACTCGGAATGCGTCCTTGTCTGCTCGCAGGGCTGACATCTGGTTTGATGACGTGGATCCAGAGGACATGGAGGCTGCCGTAGGCCCCGAGGCTGCCGACATAGTGAGGAAGAGGCTGGGTCTGCAGCGAAGCAGCCTCACGCTGGTGAAGGAGCAGGGCTTCAGCGGGTGCGTGGGTGCGTGGGGCACTGGGAGCTGCTAGGCTTGGAGGCTTGGGGGACTTTTGAGTCCCCGGCTGACCGGGGCTGGCTCCCTGACGTCCCCTGTGGTCCTGCAGCCTGACCAGAGCCCTGGCGCTGGACTGTGAGATGGTGGGCGTGGGCCCCAAGGGGGAGGAGAGCGTGGCCGCGCGGGTGTCCATCGTGAACCAGCACGGGAAGTGTGTGTATGACAAGTACATCCGGCCGACAGAGCGCGTCACCGACTACAGGACGGCGGTCAGCGGGATCCGGCCAGAGAACCTGAAGCAGGGTGCGTTGGGAGGCAGAGGGGAGACGCGAGTCCTGCCGCCCACCCCTTCCCGGGGTGACATGGCAGTAACTGACCCTTAGGCTCAGACAGTGCTGTCCAGCTCTCCAGGTCTCCGCGGTGGGCACTGAGAGGACACGCGAGGCAATGTGGGCTGAGGAGAGGCCTATCTGTCTCAGGGTTAACAGGTGCCCTGGCTGTAGTGTGAGTGGAAACGGAGACAGGCGTGGTGCTCTGGAGGGGAGGGGTGAGCCAGAGGCTTGGCCGGTGGGCCCCAAAAGTCCTGGTGGAGCCTGTCTTCTCTGCATACCACCTGCCTCAGTTGTTCCAATGTTCTCACTTTTACTGGTGCTCGCGGCCCTTCAACTCCTCAGCATCCATGGTCCCAATTTCAGATTCCAGGGGGATGGCCCTCAGAGAGACCCCCAGACAGCGCCCCCATGCTGTTGTCCCTGCCGACACCCACACAGCCCCAGGGCACTTTCCCATGCGTGACCTCAGAGCCCATGGCGGTCATGCCACCTCTTGGGCTCGGGTCCCAGCTTGTCCTCTCCCTGGTGAGTGGAAGCCCCTCAGACTGTCCCTGCTGAAGCGCCCTGTGACTTCCAGGAGAAGAGCTTGCCGTCGTCCAGAAGGAGGTGGCTGCGATGCTGAAGGGCAGGATTCTGGTTGGACACGCTCTGCACAACGACCTGAAGGTCCTGCCGGGGACGCGGGGCGGCTGTCCACACTCACAGCCCACACCCCCTCACACTGTCAGGCCCCGGGGGCATGGGGAAGCTGCACCCATACCCTCACCCCACCCACCCTCACTGTGTTGTCAGGCTCCATGAATGCGGGCTGGCTGACCTACACCCAGCTGTCATGTCCCACATACTGCACACACCGTCACACCCCTCCCCCATCACCTCTGCCTCCCTGTCATTATCCTTGTGAGCCGTGCTGACACTGGAGATGTCCTGTGACCATGAACCCTGACCCCAACTTGCTCAGTGATGCACTCGGCTCTCCAAGGCTTTCATCTCTCCACAGAGTGGTCAGCGCTGGCTGGCTCCACTCGTGCCCCTGTGGCTATCATGGCAGCAGGGAAGGAGGTCCCCAGTGCTGTGAGTCCCCAGAGGTGCCTCCAGGGTCTCCATGTGTCAACATTTTTACTTTTAAAATCTCTTTAGTCATTGGTGGTGGTTATGTGCCATGGAGTCAGTTCCGACTCGTTATCAGTGACTGACCCTGTGTTGTGTTTCCAAGGCTGTCAATCTGCAGGAGCAGAAAGCCTCCTCTTTCTCCCATACAATGGCTGGTAGTTTTGAACTGCTGACCTTGAGGTTATCAGTAGCCCCACTCGTAACCTCTACGCTACCAGAGCTCCTTATCATTTTTGTCACTAGGCTAACGGAAAGCCACCTGATCACTGAGGTGGGTCTTTCCACAAATAGAAACACCTCAGAGGCCCTGGCCCTGCTGACAGCTCCGTCTGGCTCCTGACAAACTGCTGTTTCAAGTCTGTCCTGAGACTGTACGGACGATGGTCGTTTCTGACTACCTCAGGGATGAGGCGGCAGCCAAAAGTCTGTGGGGAAACGCCATTGTCTTTCCATTTCCCCACGAGCTTTCTGAGGTCGCCCCTGGTATAGAACGGGCTAGGGACTGCCCACTGCTGTCTCTTCCCGAGTTTTCAGATTTTTTTTTATGAAAGTTCTTCCTGTCGTGCCTCGTGTTATGTTCACATTCATACCAACTTCCCTCCTCTGTGTCTGTGTGTGTGTGCTCACATGTATTTTCTCTGTGTGTCTCTGGTTCTGCGTGTCGGTAACATGGACACTGGAAATCACTGCCTCTGTGCTCTCCGTCCCAGGTCCTATTCCTTGATCACCCAAAAAAGAAGATCCGGGACACACAGAAGTACAAGCCCTTCAAGCGCCAAGTCAAGGTAGTTGGGGGGCGGAGCGGCTTGGCCCAAGGTGGGCTACACGGGGTCCTCATGTCTGCCAAGTCTACATTCTGGTGGCCGACACAGTGGGGTCTCGTGTTTTGTTTCCGATTTCCCTTTTAACTTGTAAAACTGAAAGCTGAAGAGCTAGCCGGGGGAGCCTTGCTCACTGCCAGCCTTCACACCCATGCGGCTGGGGACACGGAGGGGACAGAGCTCCCCCACTTCAGCAGGAGGCACCTCTCAGCTCTCCTCTGGGGGTCCTGGGGGTCACCTCCCTTGGAGACTGGCGACCGCACTTGCCTGGTCACGGTCCCAGTCCTGTGTACCCCCACCCCCTGCAGAGTGGCCGGCCAGCCCTGAAACTGCTCTCCGAGAGGATCCTGGGCCTCAAAGTTCAGCAGTCAGAACACTGCTCGGTGAGTGGGCCATGGTACCTGCTGGCAAACAGGTAGGGGGCAAGGTGGGCAGAGCGGGTGGCATCTGAACAGCCACATTGCACTCAGCGTCTAACACAAAAATTCTCCTAATCACCCCGGGCCAGTCCCCGCAGAAGGCTCTGTCCACCCTCTGGGGTCAGAGCCTCGCTGCTGAGAAGCTGCAGGCAGATTTCTCTCCTCCCTGCTAAGCAGGAGGCCCTCTGCGGGCAGCTGCTGTGATCCAGCCTCAGAGACCCGTGTGGCCCTCCCCTGGTCATGTGTCCCTAGATTCAAGATGCACAGGCAGCAATGAGACTGTACATCATGGTGAGGAAGGAATGGGAAAGCAGTAAAGGCAAATGCACGACCACCGCTGCGCCTGACAGCCACCACGCCTGACAGCCACCGCGCCTGACAGCCACCATGCCTGAAGACACCACGCCTGAAGACGCCGCCCTGGGGACCCAAAGGCACTGGGGTGGGCCTAGTCTCCCCAGTGAGGGGGCTCCGGAACATTCTCGGTCATGGCAGCAGGACCTGTCTCGTTCTCACCTGTGTCAGTGGCAGGATGGGGCCGGGGACCCTTCACTATGTGCACCATGGTCTGCTACATCCTCTGACCCGCACTAGCGAGGCTGTCTTCCCTTTCCCCGAGTCTAAGCCCCCTCGCGTGCAGCTTAGTTCAGGAGGGCTGTCAGGCAGCGCTCAGCAGAGCCTGCAGACCCAGGGAAGGCAGGACGTGGGGGTTCCTAAGCACGGGGCAATAGCCCTGCCTCAGACTCGGCCGGAAGACCGTCTGCAGCCTCCTCTGCCTGACTGACCAGGCCCAGCCCACATCTGATGGAATTTTCTGGAAACAAGCCGGACAGCAAGTGGTGCTGAGGGGGATGAATGACGCCACAAACCGAGCCACATGACAGCTGCTCACCGATGGCCATGTTATTTAAAATAAACATTACATTTCCCAGGGGGCCGTGTGGAGTCGGGGTCACTTCCCCCAGCTTCAGCCCCGTGCAGTTTGGGGGTGGGATGACAGGGCTTGATGACGCGGCACCGCGGCGTTGACCACCGGAACTTTAGGAGTGCTGGGGAAGCAGGAGTAGCCGGGAGGCTGTCGGCCAGCACTGTGTAGGCAAACAGCAGCTTACTCTCGGGGGTAGCTGGACACCTCTGCCTCCAGCCTCACGAGCACCTGTTCTGCGTAAGCGACCAGCTCCTGGAAGAGGCCAGGCAGGAGTACACATGACCACCCGGCGGACTGCACAGAAACTCCCCGTGTGTGTCAGAAGTGCATCCCAGGGCGTTCCAAGCTCCTGCTTTCAGCCCCAGGGACAAAGGTCTTGTGGTTGCTGTGTGTTTGCAGTGTTAGGCCTCTAGGAAGATGGAAACTACTAAGGTGCCCTGGTGGTGTGGTGGCTTAAGCATTGGGCTGCTACCCAAAAGGTCAGTGGTTTGAACCCACCAGCCGCTCTGCAGTGTGCCAGTCTGGAGGAAACCCTCGGGAACGGTTCTGTGTCCTGGGGGGCTGCTCTTCAGTTGGCATCCACTAGCACTATGCAGGGAGCCCCCTACGAGCCTCCCAGAACCCACCGGGCCTCACCAGGCTTGAGGTGAAGCGTCCCTTGATCTCACGGACCAAGGTCATGATGCCGTTGGACACCAGCTCTGGCAGTATTTCCCCTGTGGGCAGAGGGGCAGGTGTGGTGCCTCCATATTTGTGGGGGGAGTGCCGGGCAGGCTTGAGGGCAGTGGGGTGAGAAAGGGCTCACTGTAGGAGCTGAGGTGGAACAGCAGCATGGCCAGGCTCTCTACCACCTCGGGGTCATCCTTGTGAAGCTGGTACGTGTCCCTCAGGAGCCCGAGGCCGCTGCCGTTCTTCACAGGCACCACCACCAGGAAGGCTGCCAGCTCTGGGGGAAGGGCAAACCCCATCCTCAGCCTCCCCCCACCCCAGCTTAAAGGGGTTTGTGAGTTGAGTGAAGGTTTACAGAGCAGGTCATTACAATGATTGCAGTCCCCTGCATGCACCATCAGCTCACAGTATTTACTTCTGCTCAGGGTAACTCTTGCCTCCCTCCCTCCCTGAGTCTCCCACAACCTTTCCTGTGCCAGCCTCCCTCCTGCCGTCACCCAGGTTAGTGTGTCTGTCCTCTTCCCAGTGAATTCTGTTCCCTTACCTCACACCCCACTCCCTGGAACCATCACAGGATGTCACTGCCTTATTCAGTGGGGTCTCCTGGGAACGTCCAGCACTGCCCACCACCAAGATGCAGGCCAGTGAGCGGTCCCTGGGCTTGAGCTACTGAGCGCTGCTAATTCTGGATACCAGTTCCTGCCCCAAGTGCTCTACCAGCGTGGATACTGAGCCCCCCAGGGACAGTCTCCCAGCAGGCAAGGCAGCCACAAATACCCCCCATGGCTGGCCCTCTGCACTCCTCTTGTCTGCCTTGGACTGCTGCCGGTGGGACTGGCCCTATCAGAGGGAAGACTCCCGCATTCCCCCGGTCCCAGGCCTGCTTCTCAGGCTGGAGGGTCCCCAGAACCACCCCACAGTGCTCAGCAGGAGCTTTAGGGTGGGCTGGGGCAGGTGGAGTCCAGACTCCAGAGCACCTGTACCCAGATCTTGGTCGACAGGAATCCAAGACAACCCCACATGGGCCAGAACAGGACAACCAAGGGGCTGGGGTTTGGAGTGGGCCTTGTCCCAGGCAGAGGCATCACCCTCTGTGATGGGTTGTTGTTGTTGTTAAGTGCCGTCGAGTCGGTTCCAACCCATAGCGACCCTGTACAGGGTTTCCAAGGGTGTAAATCTTTACGGGAGTAGAATGCTTCATCTTTCTCCCGCGGAGCGGCTGGTAGTTTTGAACCGCTGACCTTAAGGTTCGCAGCCCGATTCGTAACCACTACGTGATGGGTTATGATAGTTTAAAAGGGGCAGTGTGGTGGGAACTTGGGGACATGCCTGTCGTTCCTCCCTGGATGTGCATGTGTGTGGACAGGGCAGATGCGCACCAGGTGGTGCTGAGCCACGAGGGACAGAAGTTCCAATGGTTGTTTCTAGAGGGACTGTGTGGTCTGTGTGTAGGCCCTCACCGGACACCTTGGCGAGGCTGGCCAGTCCACGGTAAGCGTTGTTCACCAGCAGGACCCTGACCTGGCACAGCCGGATACTCTGCAGGAATAGCCCTGTCACCTGCTCCAGCTGCTCCTCCTTGATGCAGCCTGTGGACGGGGAGGGCTTGGCACCCATGGTCGGCCTCAGCCCCATACCCCCCACCTCGCAGCCTGAGCCACTCACCCAACAAGGACAGCAGCCAGAAGACACTGCAGCCAGCTTCGGCTATCTCTCCATCCATGGAGTGGGTGGTCATCACAAGGGCCACGAGAGTTGAGGCCTTCTCCAGGGGGGTTTTGTCCACAAGGACAGCTGGAGTCGATGGGGAGATGGATGCTGTATACGCCCCACCCTACCCAGGCCAGGAGTCCAAGGCAGCCAGTCAGGACAGGGCTCATCCACCATGAGAGACTTGGGGCTCCTGTTGGTTTGGAGGCCTCTCTCCTTTGGTGTAAGAGTGCCAGCTAGGGCCCCTTTTTTTCTGAATTAGGGTTCCTGGGTGTGTGAAGCCACAACCGTAGGGGGGATCTGCTTGGTTCTTCCCATGCCCCAGCAGATGCCCACCGGGCCATGTCCCTTTCTGTTTGCTTCAGTGGCAGCTCTCAGGAGATGCTTGTTCTGAAGTGTCCAGGCACAGAGCATCTCCAAGGTGACTGAGACAGGGGGAGCCCCTCACCATCCACCAAAAAGGGTCACATCAGGTCAGGGATACTGCGGTGGGGAGTCCGTCACTGTCTACCCAGAGGTACAAGGTCAGGGAGTCTCTCACCAAACACCAGGAGGGCCCAGAATAGATCAGGGGGTGCAGGGGTGGGGGCCCCTCACCATCCACCAGGAGGCAAGCTCCAGAGAAGGTAGGGGCACAGGGGCTGTGTGGTACAGGTATAGGAGTTATGGGGTGCAGGGGTGGGAGCTCCTCACCGTCCACCAGGAGGCTCCAGAGGAGGCCCAGGCCGGCGGCACAGAGGTCCCTGTTGTCCAGGAAACAGTCCAGTTGCTCCAGGATGTGCTCAAACAGCTTGGCCTTCTGCAGCTGCCCAGCCGAAGACGCTGGGTGGCCAGGATGAGAACACCTCCAGGAAGCCTTCCCAGAGCTCCCCTCCCTCCTCTGGACTCCATCCTCCCAGAGGGGGAATGAGTGGGGCCGTATCTTCCCTCCCCTAGGAGTTCAGCTTGCTGCCAACACAACCCCAGGTCACCTGTAGCCAGGATGGCCGCCCTGAGACCCTCAGGCAACAGCTGAGCACTGTGTCCACTCACCCTGGCTGGTAATGATGGTGAGCAGGCTGTAACCCATGGTGATGAGCTCCTCCGAGTCGGGGTGACAGTGTAGAATACCCAGCAGAGAGGCCACCAAGGCGTTGCTGCACGGCGCCTCAGCCTCTGGGTCCTGCACCAGCGCTGAGTGGCCACGCGGAAGCAGGGTGGTCAGGCCCAGTGAGACCAGATGCCCTCCCTCCTAGTGGGCTGTATCCCTGACCCTGGGTGCAGCTGGTGACTGAGTGGGGACCCAGCCACATAGGCAGATGTGACACTGCCCTGTCTCCTTGTCAGTTCCCAGCTGTAAGAGCTCAGTCTGCAGGTTCAAACTAATCACCGTAGGTGCTATGTTCCTAGAGATGTTCGCACGAGCATTCAGCTTGTCAGTCTAAAGCAGCGCCTTAAATACGGAACTAAAGCTTAAATACGAACATCAGAAAGACTAAGATGTTCTTTCAGCTACACTCCCTAACGATTCATAGACTGTATCACTAACTCTCAGGTCCCGCCCTAACGGAGGCAGCGGGTCACCCCTCCACCACGGGGACCCCAGAGGACTCCATGGCCCCTGCATCCAGCTCCTTGGTTCATGGGGGACACCTGCCAGAGGGCGGGACACTTTCCCAGGCTGCACAGCAGGCCTCCATCATCCTCAGGTGGGTGGGAGGGGCAGGGCTGCAGGGGTGGTGGTGGTGCCCACCTTGGCCGAGTACGCGGAGCAGCAGAGAGTAGCCAGACAGCTGCATGTCCAGGACCCGGTCATGCTGTTTGAGGACCCCGATCACCACCTCCACCAGCTCTGTGGGCCACGGCAGACCTGGCAGGGGACCACCCGGGAGTGGAAAAAGGAGCCCAGGAATCAAGCATAGCACCCAGCGGGCAATGACGAGGGCCAAGTAAAGTGCTTATTGGGTGCCCGCATCTGCCACAGCCATCTTAAACCTGACAGTAACCCCTGGGACACAACTGAGAAAACAGGGCCACCGCCATGTGAACCAGGCCTGTCTGCTGTGGAGACCTGGGGGGCAGGCAGCCCAGGTCCAGCCCCAGAACCCCCCATGCTGCTGCCGCTCCCCAACCCGTTCCCTCGTCTGAAAAGTGGGGACAGTGATCCCAACATTTCAGGGCTGTGCTGAGCATGAGGAAGACAAAAGTGCTTCCACCTAGGGAGCTGGGTCACAGCAAACCAGCCCAGCCCCCTCTGCCCATCCTTCCCAGGAACTCCGTCCTGGCCAGAGACTGACTCCCGAAAGACCCAGGGGAAGAAGGGAAAGACAAATGGCCCAGGCGAGACCTCTGCTGGCCCACTGAGGGGCCTGGGAGGGACCGCTAGTCACTGATCCATAGCACAGACCCTCCTGCAGTGGTATGTTTCGTGGATGAGTGGGCAGGAAGGCAATTTATAGATGGACAGGTGGGTGGATAAATGGATTGGTAGTTGCGTGCACAGATAGATGGATGGGTGCCTGGGGGTTACATGTAGTTGGTTGAATTGGTGAGGAGAGAGAGAGAAGGATGGAGAAGTGAATTAACAATTGAATCAGGGGAGTGGATGGACAGGTGGACAGTTGGGTGAACATGTTGACTAGATGAACAGTAGGGTGGGTGGGTAAATGGGTAACTAAATTAATATTCCGGGTGGGGAGAAAGACCAAGTGGAAAGATTTTATGAAACCGTGATTTGGCCAAATTCAAGACAGTATCCATTGGTGGCGTGTGTTGGGGAGACAGGCGTTCGAATGCTCTCTTGGTCGGTGGGTGATGTGGTGTATCAGTGGAGGGCGACTTGCAGGATCTAGGAAACTCAAGCTTTTCTCACAAGTGCACAAACACACCTGTCCCACACTGCCCGGCGCAATGTTGTCACCATGGAAAATTAGAAGTAACTATTCATCCACAGGAGACCCTGGAAACACTGGGCACCCACTGCCCAACACCCCAGCCCACTGTGCTGGACATGGGCAGTGGTACCACGAGAATTACAGGTCCCTACCTTCTCAGTGGTCATGAAGACAGAGTCTCATGGGAACGGAAGAGGACTCAGGGATAAGAGAATGCCCAAAGGGTCTGCCCGGGGGGAAGAGTCTCTACCTAGCTCAGCTTCAGACATGAGCAGGAGCCTCTTGATGGCCTTGAGCTGGACTTCGGGCCGGTTGGAGACGTTCTGCATGACCTCTGGGAAAAACATGTGGGTCTTCCAAGGGCCAGGGGTCAGTGGAGCCCCATCTTCGGCCAGTCTAGACATGTGGAATGCACCCCCTGACCAAGCCCCAGGTTAGGCCGTAGGCACGTTACCATCCAAAAGCACATAAATCCTTATACCTATGACAAGGAGCCCTGGTGGCATGGTGGATTAAGCATTGGGCTGCTAACCAGAAGGTAGGCGGTTTGAGCCCACTAGCCACTCACTCCAATGTGGGGGCACGGGGGAACAAGGCAGTCTAGTTCTGTAAAAAGGAGCTTTTGTAGCGTAGTGGTTATGAACTGGGCAGCAACTCTCAAGGTCAACAGTTTGAAACTACCTTCTGCTGGAGAAAGAGCAGGCTTTCTGCTCCCGTAAAGACTTGGCAGCTTCGGAAACCCTATGAAACTCTAGGATCACTATGACTTACAACCAACTCCACAGCACACCACCACCACCCAGCCTTGGAAACCCACTTAGCTGTCCACTATGAACTCCGTGGCAGTAGGTGGGGTTCCTGTGGTTATAATTCTGTTTGAGAATGGGATTTCTTTATTATGTTAAGATGCCATATCAGTGTTGTTGTTAACTGCCATGGTGGAGTCAGTTTGAAGGAGCAGCTGGTGAGCTTGAACTGCCGACCTTGAGGTTCAAACCGACCTTGCAATCCAGCGCATTAGCCCACAGCGTCACATCAATGGAGAGTGTGTGTTCAGCCAATCCCCTCTGAGATACACACAGCAGACTAGGACAGAGGAGCAGACAGATATGGGGAAAGACAGATGTCACATAACACGAAGGCCACCAGGGAGAGGGGGAACAAGAACCTTCCTTCAGGGCTGACAGACAGACAAAGCCTTCCCTGGAACCGGCACTGTGAATTGGGACTTCTAGCCTCCTAGTTACAGCACAAGTAAGCTGAGACAGAACCTGAGACTGGCGAGTGGGGTGCTGCTCTAACAGATACTACAATGTGGCCATGTTTTGGAATTGGGTAATGAGTGGAAGCTGGAATCGTTTGATTATACCTGGTAGAGTTACAGACATCAACGACAGTTCTGGTGAGAGCTCAGCACGGAGTGAGGGAGACAGAGAAAAATATCTGTCGTCTTACAGAATCCAAAGGGTGCTTAGCAACACAACGTTGCTAGAAATGTGGATCTTAACTGTGCTCTGGTGAGGCTTTAAAAGCGCTAAACATGCGATTGGACCGTGGAGGGAGGGTGATGCTTCTTTATGCAGTGGCAAGGACCTCTGAGTTACGTTCAAATGTTTGGTGTCCATGAACCGGGATAGCTGGATGAGAGGTCTGAGCAAGTTCTTGCCATTTGTAGTAAAATGGGAGAGGAAAAAGAAAGACTTGAAAATGAACTGTGTAGCATGTTAACATGGGGGTGACAGGGTAGGCAACATATAACAAGAGGGAGGTCGCCAGAGGAAAGATGAAGGTAGTGGGAGACACAGGGAGGAGTGCTAGAGTTAAAGTTGTTGTGATGTCCCGTGGAGTCGGTTCCGACCCATAGGGACCCTGTGCAGGGTTTCCGAGGCTGTAAATCCCTATGGGTGCAGAAAGCCTCATCTTTCTCCCACGGAACAGCTGGTAGTTTCCATCTGCTGACCCTGAGGTTCGCAGCCCGATTCATAACCACTACGCTACCAGAGTTAAAGTGAGTAGAGGTAAATGCTGTTAACTGTTGGTACCTGGTGAGGATTGTTATCATGGTAATAAAGAACCAACAAAGTAAAATGAAAGAATGATGTAGACACAGAACTTCCAAAATACAAGGAGGTCAAATAAATTTCAAGGTAAAACAGACTATTTCAAACTGGGGAAGAAATATTAAATTACAGGGTAACCTTAAAGAAAACAAATATACCTTCACATCAAAACAAAAAAGAGGAAAATCAGACAGATATGTTGTTATTAGGTGCTGTAGAGCCGGTTCTGACTCACAGTGACCCTATACAGGGTTTCCGAGGCTGTATATCTTCCTGGGGAGTGACTGGGAGATTCTTGCTGCAGCTTGTAGTCCACTGCGCTACCAGATCAGTAGCACTGTTCAAAGGAGCACCGGAAGCAATTCTGACTTGGTTTCCAAGGGTGGAATCAGCAGCCTACATTTTAGAGTCAGATTTTCGCCAGTTTGGTTCTGGAGTGTGGGGCTGCCCTTCAGGTATACCCCGAGGAGAGTGAGGAATGGAGCTGCCATGCACAGTATGGGGTCCGCTGGGGTCACCACTCAAACGAACTACAGAATGAGCCAATGGGGCAGAGCTACTACCATCCCAGTAGACGTGGGAGATGGGGCTGAAGTCCAGGGCTGTGGGGCCTCCACCCAGAATCAGAGGGTGTGGCCAGCGTGGAGAGTCTGGAGGGCCGGGTCCCCGTCCAGATGGTCTGGGAAGATGGTTATTTTCCAACCTTGAGAGCGAATGTAACTTGTTCTCCAGGGTTTGGGACTTGCTTGGTGGCCAGCATCCCTTCGTCCCTCGGTTCCCCCCATGTGTAATGAAAATGTCCACCTAGTGCCCTTCCACCACTGCACTTTGGAGACAGATAACCCGTGGTCTAGATTGCACAGATGAGGAGGAATTGTGCCCCAGGTTGGAATAAAGTCTCACCTATATTTGATTTAAGGAGCTCTGGACCGCAAAGTCGTTTGAACTGCAAGGTCCGTGGTTCAAGCTCACCAGCTGCTCCTTGGAAACTCTATACAGGGTGGCTATGGGTCGGAATCGACTTGATGGCACTTAACGGTAACGACAATAGCGTAGTGGTTACTAGTTGGGCTGCTAACCTCAAGTCAGCAGTTCGAAACTACCAACCATTCCACAGGAGAAAGATGAGGCTTTCTGCTCCCATAAACATTTACAGCCTTGGAAACCCTATACAGGGTTGCTGTGAGTCAGCTCCACGGCACACCACCTATATTTGATTAAGATCATTTACAAGAGATTTACTTGGACTTAGAGCCTAGTCAAGACTTTTGGGGTGATGTGATGGGGTGAAAGTGTCTTTTATGTGGGGAGGTCCTGAAATTTGGGGGGCCAAAGAGTAGGGTGATGGATCGAATGGTGCCATGCTCACAGGTGAGGACATGGAGGCCACTTGTCCAAAATTGAGCACAACCCCTGCCTCAGAGCCCGCCTGACCACAGCGTGTGGTGTGTGGCCAGAGCTCGGCCTGCAGCCCAGGAGTCCCCGCAGTGTTCTCTGCCTCTGCTCTGCCAGTCACCACCCGCCCCCACCAGACCAGATCTGTGGTCTTGACAATTGCCCACTGCAGGTTCCAGCCCAGTGCTGGGCACGGCCACCACACAAGCTCCACTGTGAGAACGCTCACAGCATCCCGTGACCCTCACTGTGCTGGCCAGGAACCAGGGGCTCAGAGGGGTGACATGCTCAAGGCCCTTAGCACGTCTTCACGTCTGACTCTGAAGCCCGTGACCACAAGTCAGGCTTCCGCCAGGCCTTGCAGGTGCCCCTTCCCCAGAAATAAGAGCCAAGGGCCCAGACAGGACGGGGTAATACTAACTCATCTGCAGCTCTCTCTCCACCTGACCTGGGGTACCAGGAGGGAAGCCAGCAGGAACCCAGAGCAATGGAAATGACCTGGAACTTGAGAGTGGTCTCTAGATCCATCATTTACTCAAGACCTTGAATGTAGCTGTCATGTGCTGGGAGCCCCCAGGAGTCCCCAGCCGAGGTTCATTCATGGGAGTCAGGCCCCAGATATTCATAGAGGTGTGTGTGATGAGTAAGTGCCACACTAGACAACCAGCAGCCCTTCAGTGAGGCCACACAGGCACACTGCACAGGGCCCTATCCCATGTGGACCTGGCTGCTGCTGGACCCATCTGTGCCCAGCACCATCCAGGCTGCTGGGCCTGTGTGCACATGGCAGCGGGCCCACTAGGAGGGCTGGTGAGTGAGCCCTTGCACGACACAGGGGACTGGTGTCACTGAAGAACAGGGAAAGTAGGTGGGGGTCAGACTGTGGAGATGAATTGTGTGCATAGGTAAGTGGGAGCTATGGAGGGTATGTGAGCAGGGCAGTTCCCGGAGCAAAGCGGTGCTTGGGGATGGATCAGAGGAGCCCAGAAAGCATCCCCTGCATGGCCATGGGTGTGGAGCAGTCCAGCAGGCTGAGACAGCGGGGACCGGGGTGGGGCCCACCAGTACCTAGGATACTTGTGACCGTGCCTCCTGTCAGCATGTCAACGATGAACGAGGGTACCACCTGGCGGTGCAGGGTCAGAGCCACGCTCGAGGACTTGAAGCCCTTGGTCACAAAGGCATAGTGGATCACGTCCCTGCAGAGGGCAGAGACAGGCAAGGACGGTACCCTCCTGCTGACCACAGGGCAGCCCCTTCCTCACAGTGTGTCAGCCATCCCACCCCGGCTGCGCCCCCTGGTGGTGGGAGGAGTCACAACCTGCACTGCCCACAAACTCACGTTATGAACGTCCCACTCCCAGAAAACTCCCAGTTGCCTTTTAATGGCATGTTAACTTGCGCTCACTTTGAAACAACGGAACCAGCCCCTCCTCGCAATTCTTAATCACAATCGCCTTCCCTTGCCTCACATGCAGCTTTTAAATCCCTGAGAGTCCCGAGCCTTTTCAGGCGCTAAAGCCAGACCAAATTCGCCGCCACCGCAGAGTTCTGTTCTGTCTCACAGCAACCCTGTGAGTTTCATGGTCTCTGAGGGGGAAATCTTTATGGAAGTAGGTTGACTCTTCTACCTCCTGAACAGCAGCTGCTGGGGTCACACTGCTGACCTTTCCGTCGGCAGCCCAACACTTAACCCACTGCGCCACCGAATGCTGTCTTGCATTAGCCCACCCACTGCCATCAAACTGATTCTGACTCTCCGCAATCCCAGAGGGCCGAGCAGAACTGCTTCATATGGTCTCTGAGGTTATAAATCCTTACAGGAGCAGAAAGCCTCATCTTTCTCCCTTGGAACAACTTTGCAGTTAGAAGCCAAACAACTCATGGCAATAGTACGTCAAACAAGGAGCTGCCAGAAATTCCAGGCAGATTCAGAAGAGGACGTGGAATGAGGAATACCACTGCTGATATCAGATGGATCTTGGCAGAAAGCAGAGAATACCAGAAAGATGTTTACCTGTGCTTTATTGACTATTCCAAGGCTTTCGACTGTGTGGGTCATGGCAAGCTATGGACAACATTGTGGAAAATGAGTATTCCGGAACACTTAATTGTGCTCCTGAGGAACCTGTACATAGACTAAGAGGCAGTCATTAAAACAGAGCAAGGGGACACTGAATGGTTTCAAATCAGAAAACATACACACCGGGGTTGTATTCTTTCACCATACTTATTCAACCTGTATGCTGAGCAAATAATCTGAGAAGCTGGGTTCTATGAAGAAAAACGTGGCATCAGGATTGGAGGAAGACTCATTAACAACCTGCAATATGCAGATGATACAGCCTTGCTTGCTGAAAGCAAAGAGGATATAAAATACTTACTGATGAAGATCAAAGACCACAGTATGAGCTGCACCTCAGTGTAAAGATAACAAAAATTCTCACCACTAGACCAATAAACAACATCCATATAAATGGGTGGGCTAATGTGTCAGACTACAAAGCCATTTGAACTGCAAGGTCGGCGGTTCAATCTCACCAGCTGCTCCTCGGAAACCCTATACAGGGTCGCTATGGGTCGGAACTGACTCGCCGGCACTTAACAACATACAAATGGAGAAAAGATTGAAATTGTCACAGACTTCATTTTGCTTGGATCCACTATCAACTCTCATGGAAGCAGCAGTCAAGAGATCAGACGACGTGTTACATTAGGCAAATCTGCTGCACAGGCCTCTTTAAAGTGTTCAAGAGCAAAGATGTCAGTTTGAGGACTCATGTGCGCCTGACCCACGCCATGGTATTTTCAATACCCTCATATGCATGTGAAAGCTGGACAGTGAATAAGGAAAGGCTGAAGAAGACTTGATGAATTTGCATGATGGTGTTGGAAAATATTAAAAGCACTGTGGACTGCCAAAAAGACACAGAAATCGGTCTCGGAAGAAGCCCAGCCACAATGTTCCTTAGAAGTCAGGATGCTAGACTTCATCACTTGTATTTCGGATGTGTTCTCCAGAGAAGGAGGACATCGTGCTTGGTAAAGAAAAAGCGGAAGATCCTCAACGAGACGGACTGGCACAGTGGCAGCAGCGCTGGACTCAAGGGTAACAGGAAATGTGAGTATGGTGAGGGACCGGGCAGTGTTTTCTGTTGGGCCGAGGGGCGCTGTGAGTCGGAACCAACTTGATGGCACCTAACACCACCACCACCAACCCAACTCACACCCACTGTGCCACGGGGGCTCCTTCTTGCCATAAACTAAAGCCAAATAAGACCTGTCGGCACCTGTTCTGACTCACCTGTAAATTCGACTTGAAGACAGTCTTTAGGAATGGATCTTTGTGGCTGAGGGACCGTCTGTATTTTACCACTGTGTTGTTACGAAGGCCAATATAGTCCAGGCTGTATTCCTTACTATACATTCTCTATTTTTCTGATGTTAAGCTCAATTAAAATGAAAACATTTCCCGGGGCCCTCAGACTGTTTCAGGCTCCCGATCTGCCCTCCTGCAACTGGTATGAGATCTGCTCAAAAAGGCCCCTTCTGAACGGCCTGGGCTGCAGAGGTGGGACTAGCCCACCGTCCTGGGAGAGGCAGCTTTGTGTTCATTGGGAAGACGTGACCATGTGTGTGTGTGCGTGTGTGCACACATGCATACACGTGCACAGGTGTGATAGCGGGAAGGTGCAAAAGGAGAAGCTGAGTTCACCTCACTGTGACTCGCTCCTCGGGGTTCACGTGGAGCATCAACGGCAGAAGGAAGCCCAGTGTGTCGGCATCAGGCACCCTCCGCTCCTCCATTGTCTTCAGCACGTCGTTCAGGCTGTTGGGAACCGTGCGGAGTGACTTCCGCAGGAACATGGCTTCCTGATGCTGAAGGACGGAGGAGACAGGATGCATTCTGTGCTGGCCCTCACCAAGGGCTGGGCTGGGCTTGTGGCGGTGGTTACCCAGGGGACTCTAGCTACACCAGGCACGCGGGTTGGACCCCAAGGGTCAGGAAGAGATGGAGGGTCAGAGAGCAGGGAGCAGCTATCACCATAGGAGGAAGGGGTGGAGGATCAAATTAACCCATTTAACAGAAGTAAAACCCAAGCTTGGGGCAGCGGAGACCATGCACAAGGTTACATCCGTCAGGGCTGGGGGCACCTGGGGCACTCTGATCTGGACCCCTTGTTCTTTCCAGTATGTTACTCAGCCCCACAAAGAGGGAAGAACACCTTGTTCCCTGGGGACTTCAGAAAGAGGGGTGTGGTGAGGGGCTTCACTGAGGTAGAGATGGTCTCAATGTGACAACAATTGCAGTTACTGTGCGCTGGATCCCAGCAAGCTGGGTCTAGTACTAGGGGCTGCAGCAGCTATGGACCACCAGGGACTAGGGTGCCGGACAGACACCAAGACACCCAAGGGGGAGGAGGACGTGGGAAGGGAGCAGGGCGGGGCAGCCCCCTCCTGGAGGAGTTCCTGGACCCCTGCAGGATGCTCAGGAGCAAGGTCTGGGTCAGAGGCAGGGACAGATCCGGAATCAGGTCTGGGCAGGAGGTCGGGGGCAGCTCACCTCCACAAAGGAGCAGCTGGCCATGTCCAGGAGGATGCAACCCAGGGACCAGATGTCCGATTTCTGACTGAAGGAGAAGTTGAGGGCCTCGGGGGCCATCCAGGACTTCTGGAAGGGGTCTGTTAGCAAGGGAAGGTAGGGATCTGTTAAAACTTAGGCCCCTTGGGAGCAGGGGCTTGACAAAGCCACCCTCCCTGAGTGTAACCCATTGGTGCCCCATGTGAGCAGTGGACATGGAGCCCTTAGGTCACCCTCAGTGGAGGTGAGGACACACTGCCGTGCAGGAAGAGAAGGAAGCCCATCAGCAGGAGCATGGTCCTGGAGTCAGTGAGGTTGTCTCTCTTGGCAGGGACCAATCAGCTGGCTCGTGTGTGTGTGTGTCTGTCTCTGTGTGTGACTGTGTCTGTCCGTGTGTGAGCATATATGTGTGTATCTGTGTGTGCACATGTGTGTCTGTGTTTGTGCATTGTGTGTCTGTGTGTTTCTGAGTCTGTGTGTGTATCTCTGAGTGTCTGTGTTCTGTGTGTAGAAGAGATGATGATAGGCAGAGGCATGTTTCAAGGCTACAGTTTGTCGTCTCTTTACTTTTTTGCCTCATCTGAATGTCAGGAGCTTGGAGTGATAGTCCAGTCGCCCTGCCCTGTATTCTAAACTGAACCCCAACAAAGCGAAAGGGCTGGGCCCTAAGTCCCACTCTGTCAATCTCAGGTAGTCGCTTTCTCTGTAGACCACTCCTCAGCCAAACCAAAGGAGGACTCCAAGGACTCACAACATCTGTGTCTCCAGTAGATTCACCAACCCACTAGCTACCTACCTATCCATCCATCACCAATCCATCCACCTGCCCACCTACCTATCCATCCACCCATCCACTCATCCACCCATCCATTAATCCTATCCTATTCATTCATCCATTCAACTATTCACTCATCCACCCACCTATCCATCCACCCACCCATCCACCCATCCATTCATCCATCCAGCTTATTCATTCATCCATCCATCCACTCATTCACCCATCCATCCATCAATCCTATTCATTCATCCATTCACTCATCCACCCACCTATCCATTCATCCATTCAACTATCCATTTTCCCACCCACCCACCCACCTATCCATCTACCCATCGACTCATCCATCCATACATACATCTATCCAGATCAATTTTTGTTGTCTGAGGCCTTTTTTCTTTCTTTCTTTCTTTCCTTTACCTCCACAAGGGTTACCACATTAGGGATCACCACAACCATTAGCTTGTTTCTCGGAGTGCTTCCAATGTTGGAATACCGCCCACCCCTGGCACTCCTGCTCAGTGACAGCCAGACAAGGGGTCTCTGGGACTTTCTGAGTAGAGAGAGGTTTAGTGCTGCCTCGCCCCACTACCTCCCCTTCCCTATCTGCTTGCTATCGACACCATCGCTGCCCTCCTCCCATTCTTCCTGCGCCTCCCACCCCAGCCAGCTGCCTGGGTAGCCCCCAGTCACCTTCCTCTGCTCGAATGTTCCACTTGGCTTCATCTGTCATCAGCATGTTGCAGCTCAGCTCCTGCAGTTTGCAGTGGTTGTTGTTGAACAGCACGATGTTGGAGGGCTTGAGGTTCCTGAAACAGAGGTGAGGACCAGCCTTTTCCATCACACCTGGGCCTGCTCCGTGGAGCCCAGGACAATGGTGGGAGAAGGAGCAACCCCAGCCCCCTTCTCCAACTTTTTTTTTTTTTCAGTGAGATTTTTTTATATTTAAAAACAAAACCAACCTTCCCCAAACATCCCTCCAAACAAACAAAAAGTAGATTAAATAAAATTGACAGTGAATATACCCAGCAAACATCTGTATGTGCAATTAATTACTGTGTTTGTTACTGCAGCACGGACCCCAAACAAACAATATACAAGTGTTCTGGGGGTGGGAGGACGCCCAAGTTTAACTCTGTGGGGCTTGGGGAGACCAGATGGAGGAAGGGAGAGGAAGGGGAAATCAAATTTTTTTCCTTAATTCTGTCCATTTAAATACATTCATAAAGACCAAAAAAGAAAAGGGAACTTGGAATGGTAAGGAAATAGGAGAATAGGGGAGTGTGGGACCAGAGGATGGGAAGGAGAGGGAAGTAAAGAGCCAATCAGGGCCAGGGCAGGGGTGCGAGGTGGCTAGGGCCAGTCTGTTTCCATCTTTGTCCCTCTGGTCTTAGGCTCCAGTTTAGCGTCTGCCTCCCTACTTTCTGCCTCTGTCTGAGATCTGTCTGGACCACCTCTACCCTGCCCCCAACCCCTACTGTGCTGTTCCTTTCCCTCCGTTGCTCTTTGAGTGCTGGCTCATACCAGGATCCTCAGGTCATAGTTCTTTTTGGCCACTCGAAGTTTGGAGCAACTCACGGAGTTGTTGAGGCGAAGGGAGTCAGCCCACTTTTAAATTAATGAGTTCTGCTAGGATTAGGAACCTACTCCATAACACTTAGCAACGGCATATATAGAGTCGGGGAGCTTGGTGACTCCATAGGGTAAGCACTGGGCTGCGAGCCACAAGGTTGGCAGTTGGAGCCCATCAGCGGTTCCGCAGGAAAGAAATGAGGCTTTCTGCTCCCGCAAAGATTTAAAGCGTCAGAAATCGTATACAGAACAGGGTCATGATGAATCGGGACTGACTTGACGGCACTTAACAAAACAATATATAGAAAGTGGGGGAAAGATGGAGTTCTCTACTACCAAAAAGACTTACAGTCTCAGAAACCCTAAGGAGCTAGTCTACTGTGTCCTATAGGGTAACTATGAGTCAGAACGATTGCAGTGAGTTTGGGGATGTATAGAAAATATGCTGAGTTATTTCCATTTGGAAAAGAAAAACTCTAAGACTGAAACTCAAAGGGAACACATGAGCAGGCATGTAAGCTTGCTGACAACTACAATGGGCTCCTGGTGAGTGGAAGTGGGGGAAATGCAGCAATGAAGAAATGGGCTGAGTTCAACCATGTTCCACAGACTCCTGTAGACCTGGAGAAAATCAAAAGAGGAAGAGCTGGTTGGTTCAAAGTGTGGTGAGACGTGGGGACACCTGTGCCCATGGACAAGGACATAGCCACAAAGGGCTAAAGCTGAGAGTGAAGCATCCAGCTGATATGCAGTGAGGGGAGGCGCACAAGAACACCCAAAGTTGACCTAGCTTCAATGGCTTGATAATCAGAACTTGACTAGAGGAAGATTAAAAAAGAAAACAACAAAACAATTCTTGATAAAGGAAACAAGGGTAAATTGCTACAAATTGATGAATTTGACCTATACTAATGGAAGTAGTAACTCTAAATACCAACAGAGAGGGGAGTAGTCTTCACATCAAATATCAATGCTATACCCTCTGTACACACAGAGTAGATGGGATGGGCAACTTAGACATTGGCTAACTAAAAAGAGGGGGCGATAAAGGCACTAAGAGACTGGCTTACAAGATTTCAAGGGGGAGTTTAATTTAACAGTGTGTGGGGGAAGAAAGCATCCCCACTGAATATTTTTCATCTTATCTAGATGGGTCTGGTTAAAAGAGATGGGGATAAGAGTCTTATAATTCAATAGTGAGTATTTGTTATTGTGATTAATTGCGACTGTCACAATTGTAAAGGTAGAAGTTTTGTAACAAAAATGGAAGAGTGGTTAATATTACAGTCCAGAAACAGAGGACCCTAGAACCATCAAGGGAGAAGAGCACAGCAGAATGCAAGACCTTATCCAGAGAAGCAGCAACACCAGAGATGGAGGCAGAGATGGGGACATGGAGAGAGGGAGCAGCAGAGGACTCTAGAGTCATGGGAAGTGAGGGACTAAGAGATGGTGGCCAGTAGACAGATTTGCAGAATGTGCCCTTTGGTGGTGTAAATTATTATATATGCCTGAGTGTTTACCAAAAAAACCTAAAGTGAATAGAGAGAAATACTGTTAACTGATGATACATGGAGGGGGATTATAATCATTGTAATGAAACAAGGTGTATGATTTGTTCGATGTAAAATTGATGATCTGCCCTGTAAACTTTCACTCAATCCACAATAAAAACCTTAAAAAAAAAAAGATATTGCATTGGAAACAATTAAAAACCTGCAGAAAGAGGTCTAAATGATTAATAATAAAATACTAGAAATGGACAATACAATGAAAGGGCAAAGGAGTAGAATTGAAGTGATGGAAGTCAGAAGCAGTGAGCTGGAACATAAATGTCTCAATACTGCTAAGACAGAAGAGCAAGCCATAAAAAAGGCTAAAAAATCTTAAGAAAGTCTAAGATCCATGTGGGACAACATGAAGAGGAATAATTTAAGAATTATTGGCATTCTGGACCCGGAAGAATTACAGAAGTCCATAGAGGAGATAGTTGAAGAGCTGA